TATATATATAAATACTTTTTTCCCCCTTCAGGGCTTTGTTTGAATGTTGACTTCTTGCCACGGTTTTCTTTATCTAACATGCTAGATTATTTACTTATTTATTATGTTTGTTTATTGTCTGCTCCTCCCTGCTAGAATGTATGTAGACCGTCTGTTTCGTTCACTGCTGAGGTCAGAAGCCAAGACAGGAACACAGGACAGCAGCTTGGGTGTTAAATTTTAATTTGGGGCCCACAGAAGAAATCTGGCTTCTGACTGTACCACTAACTGGCTGTGTGGTCCCAGGCAGTAGTGGTCCATCTCTGAGCCTCAGGGCCCCATCTGTCACCAAAGACTTTGTTCCTGGTTTTTAATACAATGGCCAATGGAGTAGGGGTATGGCCGCCTATCTGGGGGTCCTCGCTGTGAGCCTGCGAGCTTCCAGAACATTTCTTTTATCCCCAGCACTGGGCCCCTGACCTGGCATGTGGGAAGTCTCAATCACTATTTATCAAAGCGGTAAATGAACGCAAGAGTGAGTACATTCACTTCACGTTCCTGGGCCTCAGCTTTGATTCTGGGATCCCACGCGGAAGTTAAGACCACTCCTCAGACTGGAAATTGTGCTCGTGGTGAGGTCATTGGTAGGGTGGGTGCCGCAGTCAGCACCCTGTGCCCTCCGCCACCCTCCCACCTGGCCTCTCACTTGGGAAAGCTGCTGCCAATGAGGATCCGGCCCAGGGGGTACTCCTTGCTGCCCACAGTCACGGGCGGGCTGGCGTCCAGGTTGCCGAAGGAGTCGAGGCCGGAGGGGCCAGCCAACGGGATTTTCTGGGTTACGTATCCAAAGTCAGGACCCTAGGGCATGACCAGCAAACACCCCCCCCAAAGGAGGGGTCAGTTAGAACAGGAAGAGAGAAAAACAACCCCCCCATTTTCTGAGCACCATGCAGTTAAAGTCCAAGCCAATAAGAAAACAGCAACCAGAAAACCCCCAAGTGTTTGGAAGTTAGGCGACACGCTTCTGGAGAGCCCATGGGTCACAGACAAAATCAAAGTGGAAATTAGACGATATTTTGAACTGAAAGGTAATAAAAATACGGCACATTAAAACTCATGGTGGGGCGCAGCCAGTGTGGTTCAGTGGTTGGTCCTTGACCCATGAACCAAGAGGTCACCCGTTCAGTTCCCAGCTAGGGCACATGCCCAGGTTGCGGCCACGATCCCCAGGAGGGGGCGTGCAGGAGGCAGCCGATCCATGCTTCTCTCTCATCAATGTTTCTATCCCTCTGTCCCTCTCCCTTCCTCTCTCTCTAAAATCAATAAAAACATATTTTAAAAAACCCAACTCCCATGGTGCTAGTGAAGCTGTACTTGTGGGGAATTGCTTAGCTGTAAACACATATGTTAGGAAGAGAAATGATTGACAGCTCTCAGCTTCCGTTTCCAGCTTCCCGCTCTGCCCTTTGCCACATACCAGGATCCTCTTGAAGGGGAAATCCTTCAGGCCTCTGTCTCGGGGGGAGTCAAAGACCACTGGGAAGGATTTGTGAGGCGCCTCCACGTAGCCAAATTCCATCTCGTCCTGGGAAGAGAGATGAAAAGACCACAGTGACCTCCTTAGTGTGGTTTTTCAGAATGGGGTGATTCCCCCAGGCAGGGTGGGACAGCAGATCTTCCCCAAGATCTGGGGGCTGTGGGGGGAGGTAGAGGTAAGGCCCTTTGGGACCCCAGGCAGGAGAGGACTCTGTCTGGACCAGGGCATTTGGAAGGAAGCAGGAGAGACTGGGGCGATGCAGGCAGCGGGGAAACGTTCCCCTAACCTGCATACCCCCCCCTGAGTCCTAGAACCCAGGTGGCCTGGCTTCTCTACAGGCCATTAGGAACCGGAGCAGGCCCCCTTTCCCAAAGCCAGATGAAGGATGGGGCCCAGGCCTCCCGGACCTGCACCCACCTGGATCCAGCGGTCATTTCGATTTTCAGTCCAAGGGCAGATGATCAGCTTGCAGTTGGCTTTCAGTGCCAGGTCAGACATGTCCTTCAGAAATTTCTCATTCGAGCCGTGAGGGTCTATCACGCTGCAGAACAAAGGGAGCGGGGAGGGTAATAATGGCCTTTGGCCGTGGCCTTGGCCTTAGGGCCAGGAGGTGTGGGATGGGTGGGGTGGCCTTGATCTAGTCTGTTTGGCCCCTGGATGCAGGGGTTCAAGCACAGCCACTGCCTGAGAGAAGCTCGCAGGCTAATGACAGAGATGGGTAAGGTCCCCATATCACATCAGGTGACAGGTGCGAGGGGCAAGCCCAGGGCTTCGGAGCCTAGAGGTGGGGCACCGAAGCCAGCAGGGGCAGCCATGGAGGAGGTGACCTGAGGACTGGATCTCAGCGGTTAAGGTGGCAGTAAGGGGGCAGGTAGCCCATCTACTCCTGTTCCACACAACTGAACTAACCAAAGGAGTCAGGGTGGGGTTAGTGACAGAGGGAAAGAAAGAATTCCCTCTGAACACCTGCGCACAGCTGGGCTCACGTAAGCAGAGCAAACCTGTTTGGCCACACCCTTCCCTGCCTTTTGACTTATGTTCCAAGTCAACTGTGGCCCTTTCCACTGGTCTGACCTCTGATGCAGGGGCCTAGAGTGGCCTCGCCAGTCAAGGCTCACCTAGCCTTCAAGGGGCCTGATAAGAATTCTGAGAGATGGCAGGAGGACCAGGGACCTGGGAGGGGCCAGGGCTCTCAGTGGACCCTAGAGTCTGGGTTCCCATGTTTTCTGCAGGCCCAGAAGCACCCCCACATCAAAGAGAAGCTAGGTCTCCTGCAGCCACCAGCAGCCTGTACAGGGCCTGGTCCCACCGCCTAGACTGAACCTAGAATGTTCCGGGGCTGCTGCAGGCAGGACAAGGTAGGGGCAGGGGTACTGGAGGTTGAATCAGTGACCTCAGCCAGGGCCTTAGCTGCTCGGAGCAGGTGGGACTGACAGGCCCAAACCCGCCCGCTGCTATCCTGTTCCCAGTTCGAGCCCGAGGGTGACCACAATTAATCCACCCAGTCTGAGTGAGGGGCCAACCTGGGAACAGCATCCTGTCTTATCTCCACGGTTCCAGAGATGGTGGGAGAGCTGCGGGAGGGGTGAGGCCTCACCTGCACACATACAGCTCCAGAGGGGGCTGGGTGTTGGGGGTCATGATCCAGGGGGCCATGCGGAAGGCCACAGTGTCTGTGAAGATGGGTACCTCGGGCAGGGTCTAGGGGGAAACAAGGACTCAGTGGGCCCTGCAGGGAGACTCATAGGCCTCAAGATCCCCCGGTCCCCAGCCTACCCAGTCCTAGAGCCTCCACATTGGTCCTCCAAGTCCCTCAGCCCCTATCCCAGCCCCCAATGCTATACATACCCCCGTGTCCACCAGGCTGACGCTGAGAGAGACCAGCCCCAAGAAATCAGAGTTGGGGAAGGTGAGTCCCTCCACATAGAAGCTGATCTTCTGCTCCCCTGGCTGCCGCTCGACTTCGTAGGTCAGATGCTGGGGTCCCAGCACCTGTTTGTAGCTTGAGAGGGAATTCCCACCTAGGAGAACCAGAGTTAGCACTGGGGGGCTGGGGCTGGGACAGGGATGTGGGGCTGTAAGGACAGGGGTGTGGGGCTGTAAGGACAGGAGGAAAGGAAACCAAGGACAGAGCCACCTCTGTGTTCAGTCTACTTGGGCTCCTCTCTAGCTCTGCCACGCACAAGGTGTGTGACCTTAGCTCAATGACTCAATCTCTCTAAGCCTCAGTTCCTCATCTGTAAAATGGGCTAACATTATATTTCTCATGAGGTCAGTATAGGCTTTAAACCAGATAAGGAGATAAAAAGCAGCTGACACAAAAGATGTAAACAGCCCAAATGTCCATCAACAAGTGGATGGATAAACAAATTGCAGTATGTCCATACGATGGAATATTATTCACGCATAAAAAAGGCATGAAGTGCTGATAGATGCTGCAGCATGGATGAACCTTGAAAGCATTAAGCTAAGTGAAAGGAGCCAGGCACAAAAGACCACACATTGTATGATTCCATTTATATGAACCGTCCAGAATAAACAAATCCATAGAGACAGAAAGGAGCTTGGTGGTGGCCGGGAGCTGGAGGTCGGGGGACAGGGAGTGACTGGTAGTGAGTATAGGGTTTTATTTGGGGTGGTGAAAATGTCTTGGAGCTAGAGAGAGGTGGTGGTGTACAAAGCTGAGAATGTATTCAATCCCAGTGAATTGTTCCCTTTAAAATGGTTAAGTTTATGTTATGTGAATTTCACCTCAATTAAAAAAAAAAAAATTGAGTAGTAGCCCTGGCTGGTTGCTCAGTTGGCGACATCCGTGCACCAAAAGGTCTCGGGTTCGATTCCCAGTCAGGGCACGTACCCAGGTTGCAGGTTCGTTTCCCAGTAGGGGCGTGTACGTTTCTCTTTCACATCGATGTTTCTCTCTCTCTCTCCCTCCCTCCCTCTCTAAAAATCAATAAAAACATATCCTCAGGTGAGGATTTTTAAAAAGTTGAGTAGTAAAACTGAGTTTTTAAAAAATGTGGTAGTTCTGCCACCTCCTTGTCTCCTCCACTGCCGGTTGGCTGGGAAATGTCACCCTGGTGCATTCTAGAAGGTTCCCTCAGTGAGACTTGCTTCTGTTCTGGTATCACAGTGTTTTCAGGCCAGGTCTCTGGCTAACCTCCTACCACTGATGCATTCCAAGGAACATTCTGGTTCCTGCCAGGCTCATTTAGCCAGAACAACAAGTTCAGCATCTGTTTGAATAGAAATGTGTGAAGAGGAAGACAGAAGAGGCAGGACAGGCCTTTTGCTATTTATAAAAATGAGTAAGGGCACCTCAGGGTTAAGGATTGGTATTTTTTAAGCCACAGACTTTAAGTGTCTGGTAGAACAAAGTTCCCAGGGCAGGCCTGGGCCTCAGCTCTGCTGGTTCCTGCCTCACCCTGACTGGACAGTGCTTGTCTGGGCATCGAGGGCTCATTCCACACTGAGTGACCAGAGGAGGGAGGAGGGGAGGACACGGGGGCAGCAGACAGAGAAGGAGCTTTGGCTCTCAAGGGTTTGAATGCCTGCTAAGCCCCCCAAATGGTTTTGTGACCTTAAGACATAGAATTCATGCATCTGAGCCTCAGTTTATCCCTCTGTAAAGTGGGACTAGTTATCGAACCTCCTTCTTGGGCAATACGTTGTGTCCAGATGGAGTGGCTGTTTGTAAGTTGTAATGAGAGTTATGAAAGGCGATGGAAGGAAGGGAGAGGTGTGGACGAGAGGAGAAGAAAGAGTTTGGGAAGCAGAGGATGGACAGGGCAGAGGGATGCCCCACCAGGCCACTCACCCCGAGCGCAGAAGACGCCCACTCGTTTGCAATCAGAGAATGGCACATTCAACACCAGCTTGTGGCTGTGAAAGAGCTTGTCGGGGCCATCACAGGTCAGCACCATTGGGGACATGTCCTTCAGGTCTGAAGAGAGTGGCACCCTTGAGACAGCCCTCCCTCCACTCCACCAACAGGCTCTCCTCCCATCCTCCGCACCCTTTACCACCCCACACCATCACCCTGGACAACATCATATATCCCTTCTGTCGCTCACCATCCAGTGACATCAGCTGGCGGTTGGCAAGGTCAGGCCCGCTGGAGCTAAGACTGTCCCGGTCACAGTTCACCAGCAGGACAGCCCCATAGCCCTCAGGGCCCCAGCGCCAGGTTTTCTGTGGTGAACAAGAGACATTGGGGTCAGTGGGACCCAGGGGCTCTGGGAAGGGGTTCTAGATGTGGCGAGGGCTGGCTGCTTTGTTAGCTTGGAGACTTTTGTATCCTGGGTTTGCTTCAAGATTTACAGAGGGCTCATAGATTTGGGGACTGAACTCCAGGTCTCTAGACCCAGAGCCACTCAACCCTTGTGCAGTGACAGCCTGAGCTACTATACACAGGGGCCCCACTCAGCCATCAGTTGCCACACTCAGAAACCTCCTTAGCCAGCCTGCTGAGCTTTGGCCCTGCCCAGGGGACAGAGGCTGCCTCTCCCTGACCTTGATGGGACTGGAGAATCCTGGAACACCCTCCTCACCCCAGCACCCTGCGGGGACCCGCCCACCCGCAGTCCTGCAAGCCCTGCACCAAGGTCCGAGCTGAGACTGGAGAGGTGGCTGGAGCCCTCCCTGCCTCTGCGATCCATTGAATGATCAGAGGTCTTCCTGCCCCGCCCCTGCTTTCTCCCCCCAGGCCCTGAAGCGCAGGCTCACTTTCCATTCCACAGAAGAGGAGAAAGAGGCTGTGGGATGTGAGCCCCAAGTCATGTAGACGGATTCAAACTCAGGTCTGGGGACCGTACGGGACCACTGCTAGCGTGCATGGCACTCGTATTCACCTCTCTGGGTAGAGGCTGCCCTGCACCAGGGCCCAAGACACGATGCGTCATAGGCCCCACTCACCACCTTGTCCAGGCAGCCCATGCACTGAACTACCTGCTCGGCCATCCTGTCCCATCTTGTCCACAAAGCCTGTGATCCAGGCTTCCTCTCTGGGGTCTCTCTCTGCAAACTACATCTACCCTCCAGGATGGCTTCCAGGTACTTCCTATGGGTAATGTTAGACCCTCCTCACTCTAGGGTCTAACTGGGGCTGTCTACCCCGCCTCCTCTACTGGAAGACTAATCTTCCCCTTGCCTTCATTCAGTCGCTCAACAACCTTTTATGAAGCACCTACATGTTTGGGGTTCCAAACACAGCCTAGGAAATAGAAAATGCATCAAGCAAAAGAACCAGTCCCAATTCTAAGGTGGCATAAGAAACACCCAGAGAAGGTAAGCTGTTTTCCAGAAGTCACACAGCATGCCCATCATACAGTGTAAATTAACTCCCACTGTGCCAATCTGAGAGTCTTCAAATGGGTTCCCTATACCACTGGATACCACAGAACCTACGAATTCATCACCCTTCTGGAGAGAGGGCCCACCCCACCCCAGGACCATCCCCAGGTTTGCCTGTCCACTCTGCTGGCTTGGGGTAGCCAGGAAAATCTCACCTTGTCAACTTGGCTCCTCTTTGCCTTGCCCTTGCGGCCTGTATCAACATCGAGGGAGATGTCTAGAAAAGAATGGAGAGGAGTTGCCAGGGGCTCACCCAGTCCCATCTTCATGCCTATAATATCCAGCTGGAGGAAAGCTTTGCCCCCTCCCCATGCCCATGAGAAGTAGGAAGCCTTGTTCTTGGAGGCCTTGTGGCGGCCCCATGTGGTGCTGGGTGTTGGAGGGATCCACGTCTTTGGTCTTGAATTTTTTGCTCATCTAGGTTTGCTGAATCGCCAGCTCTTGGTGGCCCTGACTGGCAGTTGGAGACTAGGCCTGAGGCTCTGAGCACTGGCTTCCTAGTTCTTGAACTGGCTGCCTGGGGCTCAGGCTGAGGGGGCATGTGGCTGTCCAAGGTTTAGTGCTGGATCTGGGAGTTCCAGTGGGTGTGATAGGTGGGACAGATGAAGGAGGCCCATTGTGGGTCTGGCTGTTGGCACATGGGCAGTGCAATTTCTAGATTCCAGTGGTCCTAAGTATTGCTAGATCTCCATCTCTGATGTTCTAGGGAACCACTCCCTCAATGGTGGAGGAAACTGGTCATGAGCTTGCACTCAGGGCTCCCCTAAGACCCTCAACAACCAACACAGAGGAGTGTGGGGATATACAGAGAGCCAGGGAGATGGTACGTACCGACGCCAGTGAGGAAGAGCACACTGTGGCCCAGGGCATGGTCCTCGTACTCCCCAAAGTAGGAGACCTTCACCTGTGGGGACACGGTCAGCCCTAAGCCAGCAAGCCGCCCCTTCAGAGATGGCAGTGGCCAGGGACATGGGGGTGACCCACACCTCCCAACAGCCCTGCTTAGAGGCAGGGCAGGCATGGAGGTCCCCAGGTCCTTCCTGTTGCTGAAGGCCCATGTCTCATAGGCTCCAGGCTTGGATTCTGAGCTGCTTTCTCCAGCTAGAGAGGCTGTAGGTGCCTCCCTGGCTCCCTGGGCTGGGCTGAGGTACAAGGAGAGCTGGGCAAGGAGGGCTGGGTGGGTGAGGGCAGATCCCAAAGGGAGCAGCTGGACCCTCAGGCATTCATGGGGAATGTCAGAGAGAAGGAATGAGAGAAGGAACATCTGTCACCATTGACTTAGGCAAGTTACTCAAGGCCTCTGTTTCTTTGCCTGTAAAATGGGAACAATGACCTCCACCCCATAATAACAGCCAGTGGTCATGAGCTTTTCTCAGGGCCCAGTACCCATCCCCAGGGCTCTATCCAGGCCATTTCCACAGTCCCCCAGAATGATCCCATTAAACATGGTCTATTCATAATGAGGCTGCTCAGGGCCCTGCCTTGCAGACCCGCAGCTAGGAAACAGAGGAGGGAAGCTTTGAGCCCATGGCAGGCTCCAGGGCCCCTGCTCTCAAAAGCTGCACAGTCCCCGTTTTGTACCTGTTCAATCTGTGGGTCACTGTGTGTGATTGGCGGCTGGGGGGCAAGTGAGAAGGGTGTCATCTGAGCTAGGAAGCCCTCCTGACTCTTTAGGTGTGGGAGACACATGAGATCCAGGTGTGCACCTGCGTCTGCACAGGTGTATGCACACAGGTCCCACCTACATGAGAGTGGGGGTCTTGCTTGGGGGTCTGTGTAGGTTGAACACAGGATTAATGGGGGATGTTTGTGAACCTAAGAGGAGAGGAGGCAGGCTGTGGTTTATGGGAGAATTCACACATGTAGACGTGTCATGTGGGGCACTGGGGTAGGTTTGCGTGTTTGGGTGTCTATGGGGTTGTATCAGGATGTGTTGTGTGGATGCGGGTGTCAAAAGCCTTCTGGGGTTTGGTTGGGTGATATGTGAATGAGGTTTGCTTTGAGGGGCTCTTACCTTGGGCGCGGATGGGGAGAGGCAGCCCCTTACTGTGGGTAAGGGCCTCTTACCTTGAGATCACTTAAGGCCTTACTGGCAGTGTCCACGGATACAGTCACGTCCACATTGGAGTCCAGGGGCCAGTGGTCCTTATATGTGGGCTCTATCACCCGTGCTGGGTCGTGGGCAATGAAGATCTCTACTCCGGGGCTTCCAGAGACCCTGAAGGTCTTGGCTTCCTTGGGTATATCGCTGACAGAGAGGAGAGGGGAAAAGGTCCAGGGCTCAGGAGAGTGACCACAGCGGTGTAGTGGCTGGGCAGCCAGGCCACCCAAATGTCACCCCCTACAGCTGGGTTGGGGAGCGCCACTGGCCAGAAGTCCAGCTGGCTGGGCACTGGGCAGCCTAGGCTCCACCCAGCTGTCCTCTAACCCTCATGTCACCCACCGGGGCGCATTACCGCCGGCTTCAGTCTCCCATCTGTAACTCGAGGGGGTTTGAGCAGAGCAATGGTGCTGAGCTTTGTTTAGTAGTAGGGCCTTTGTGGCAGACCTCCTGTGGAGCCCGAGCCATGAGACAGGCAAAGGGGATGGGGCCGAGTGAAGACATTCAACCCTCCAGGTTCCCAGCGACCTGAGACCCCAGAGCGCAGAGGCAGCAACCTCCGGACAACCCGCACCCCAAGGCTGCCCACCGTGTGCTGCCAACAGGAAATGCACTTGGCCACCCTCCCCCCCATCAGCCCCACTCCCCTGGATTGCTGGGCGGCCTCCGCGCTCGTCTCCCTGGGCCCACCGAGCCCCCTTGTCTGTTCCGCACACAGCATATGTAAGTTGTATTGTATTGTTCCTTTCTGTTCAAAAAAACAGCGGATCCCGTGACACTCAGCAAAGTCCCCACAATGGCATATAAGGTCCCTCCTGATCCACCCCTGTCACCTCCCCGACCTCCTCCCCACTCTGCTCCAGCCACGCTCACCTCCCTGCTCTTCCACGAAGCTGCCAGGCTGTCCTGCCTCAGTTGCCTCTGCATAGAATGTTCTTCCCCCCAGATACCCACAAGGCTCGCTCCCTTAGCCTCTTCAGGGCTTGGCTTAAATGCCACCTCTCCATGAGCCCTCCCATCACTCCATCACTCCAGTTAATCTGCACCGAGCCCCGCCTTCTCCCCGACTCTCCAGATCCCTGTTCTCTGCTCTGATTCTCGATCATTCTGTTGTTCGTTGTCCATCTCTCCCGCTACGTGGCTGTTTCTTCTCCCCTCCCTCCTACCACTGGGCCTGGAGGTGGGCAAGGGTCCTCCTTGCTCCTCACTGTCGTTTCTAGATCATCCTCACTCTCCTCATTCCTTGAGGGCGCCGGCTCCCAATGCTGTCTCAGGACTGCTGTCACCACTTTTTCCTTCAGCAGCACGTGGGTGATACGCCAGAACCGTGTCCCCTCAGTCCCTTGACCTCCCTCCTCCAGCGATCCTGTTCTCCACACAGCCTCAGCCTCCCTCCCCTGTGGGCCAACCCCAGATATTGTCATTACCGAGAACCGCGCCTGCTGCAAACTCCCCTCCTGGCAGCAGGACCTGATGCCACCCTAACCTGCCGGCTCACTCCTCCTGACACGCAAACGCCACCAAGCTTTCAACCCCACGGGACCTGTAACCACTGAAGGCTGAGCCCTCTCTACCCCCTTCTCACCGGCCCTCACCCCCTCCTGTTCTCTCTTCCCTTCACCAGGGCCCCTTTCTCTTTCAGGGCCCTAGAAAACCATCCCATAGCTTCCCCCTCTCTGGAAACCTCCCTTCCTCGGAGCTGTCACCTGCCCCGCCTCTCTGTCATCTGCCAGCCCACCTGCCTCTGAGCCAGCACGGTGCCTGCCCTCCTGGGACAAAGGATGACGGCCTGTCCCTCCCCCTCCGGGGTGCACCTTCCCTGCTCAGAGCAGCGCCCGGCCTCACCCCTTCTGGCCCATCACATGCTATAAATACCACCCAGCCTCCCTTGTCTACCCAGCCCCTCATTTTTAGCTCCCTTCATAGGTAGTTCTCTTCCTCCCTCCCAAATGTCCCCTGGCTGCCACCCCTTTCCTTCTGAGAGCGGGCTCCCTGACACAGTGAACCCCACATTCCAGGGCTATAAGGAAGGGGGCTGTGGCTTCCCACCGGTGCCAGGCAGCTGGGGGATCACACTGCCTCTCCTCATCTCTCAGGCTCCTGGCTCTGTGGGTGGGCCCGTGGGTTAAGGGCTGCTCTTGGGGGTGAAACAAGCAGGCATGGGAGTCTGGGGGGAGCCCCAGGGTGCCCCCAGAGGGGTCTGCCTCACCAGCTCCCTGTCGTGCTCCGAGGGAGCCTCCCAATCCACGCCTGCCCCGCCGCACTTGCTTTGGCACAGCACCCAGACACAACCAAACCCCCAAGCGCAGCCCTGGTGTGACTCCAGACGCACAGTCAGGTGAAGAAATGGACTTGAAATATCCCTTTAAATGGAAAGAACTCCAGTCATTACCATATGGGAGCCGGGAGACGCCTGGCAGTGTCAACATCGTGATCTTTATCATTTCCAGGAGGATGAGCCTGTGTTCTGGCTTGCCCTCTGTCCTCCAGTGCCCTCCCCCCATCTCTGCAGGGGGGAGTACAGGAGAGGAGGCATGTGGGGGGGGTCACCTTTTGCGTTCTTAAAGACCCACTTCAAATGCCCTCTTCTCTATGGAGCAGGGCGTGTACTCTGTAGGAAGCGTGGCCTCAATTCCTCTCACCCAAGCTCTCTGAGCTTCGATCTTCCTCCTGTCACATGGATATGATCCAAAGAGCTACTCCCTGGGGCTGTTGAGGGATTCCGTGAATTCTTGTATTTAAAGTGTTCAGCATACAGTCGGTGCTTAATGAGTGTTAGGTGCCATCATCGTCATTCCTATAACTATTCTCCCCAACACCCAAGCCCACTTGAGCCAGAGCCCCCTGCCCTTCCCTCTGTCCCCACAGCACTGGTTCTGACCTTCCCTGGGGCCCCTTCGCAGCCCCCCTGTGCCAGCCACAGCAGCTTCCTGCCTGACTCACCAGAGAGCAGGCCCCATGGGCCAGGTTACAAGGAGAATGGAGCCAGTTCTCAGAGACTCTCACAAGAGGACGCGCAGAGGGTGGGATGGGGGGTTACAAGTCAACAGATCACTCTCAGCCATGCCCTCTTGCTTTGGCAAGGAAGGTGCCCACCCACCTGTGAGGGCCTGAGGATAGCATGTTTCACAGGCAATATCAGGGTGGGGTCTGTTGGGGTGGTGTTTTCAAGCATCTACTAAATATGCCAGGCACATGCTCAATTTTTTATATCTGTGATTTCATCCACACTTCACAGTAATCTTCCCAGGTATGTGTTATTGTCCTCATTTGGCAAGTGAAGAAATCTTCTCAGAGAGGTTAAGTAACTTCCTGGGGTCACACAGCTGGCTAAGGGAGGAGGAAGCAGCAGGTTTGTCTTCTGTACACTGTCCTGGCTGAGATCAAAAGGAGCATGTGTGCCCTGAGCATGCCCCGGCAAGACCAGAAGTAGGAAGGAAAAGGGACAATATTGAAACTTTGCAAACAGATTCCTCCATGTGATTCCTTGGGAGCTGGTCAGGAAGGAGATAGGGCCCCGAGGCAGAGAGACCATGTTCCTTCCTCTCCATCCATGTACCTGAACCTTGCAGGGGTGAGGTCAGTGCCGGCCAAGAGAACAGGGCCCATGACCTGCTGGTCCCTGCCTGCCCTAAGACAATGAGACAGTGACTAGGGTATCTGAATGGGCCTTGGCTCAGGAGTCTCGAAGGTCATCTTGGTCAGTCTCCCTGCCCAGCACAAGACTCCATGCTTAACACTTCCCATGACAGAGAACTCACTACCTAACACCCCTTTGGGCTCTGGCAACTCAGGTAATTAGAAAGCTTTTCCTTTTGCTTGGCCGGAACCTGCCTCCCAGAAGCTTCCACACACTGGGGCTCCGCAGGCCACACCTTATTTCAAGTTTACCATCTGGTTTCTAGGGAGAGGTGAAACACAGGCGTCATGGCAAATTCTTCCCCTGCCATCCATTCTACCTGCTGCTTGGACTTCACCAGCCCTGGGGACAGAGCTTAGGGTCTGGTAGGATCCCAGACCCCTGAACTAGGGTCTGGGCAGGGAAGGCAGAATGGCACTGACCCAGCCTCCAGATGCGTGGGTGGGTAGCAAAGGATCAGTGTGCCTAGAGGGTGGCCCAGGGCACCCTCAAGGAGAGGCAAGGGCAGGAGGGGAGAATAATGCAGAATTGAATGGAAAAGCTGAAGAGCAAACTGGTGGGCAGCTCCCCTTCACACCTGGCCAGCCACCTGCAGGCCAGGAGCCCCCGAGGTGCCACGCTCCAGGTGTCCTGGACTTGAAGATCCCTGAACTGAAGTCACAAAAGATACCGTGGGACCAGCCAGCGGGACCCAGCAGGTCCTCTCTGATGCGACCAGCTCTGTGGGCACTTCTGCCTGGAGCTGAGACTCGCCACGGCCGAGAATCCCACAGAGCTGCCCGCCACCCCCCCCAGGCTCCAGTCCTGAAGGGCAGGAGCTCCACAAGGCTGCTGTTAGTGTTGCCGGCTGCTCTGCCTCAGCACTTGTTTCCTGAGCACCTACTGTGCGTCGGGCATGGAGCTGGGCACCAGAAAGGAGGGATGAATCACCCCAGGGTGACAAGGTAGGAGCCACACGGGGTGGGTACACCACAGTCAACAACACGCTTTCACTCCACTTATTCCGTCCCCGCAGCCCCTGTATGCTGAGCGGAGGAGTTCTTTTTCCTCTCCCCATTTTACAGAAGATGGACTGAAATTCAGAGGGAATTCCTCCTTCCCCCAGATAGCAGTCATGGGTGCCTTCTGCCTGTCATTGCTCAGGGAGGGGCACACCAGAGCTGGAAGGAGGGCCCAGGTTGGCCAGACCTTCTTGTAAGTGGACCCCTGCCTGCCCAGGAATGGGGGCCGGAGAGGAGGGGCGGCCGCTTAGTCCGCGGGCCTTCCCAACAGAGGCAAACGGCCTGGGGACCAGAACGTCCCTGAGAGCAACCCTTGAATGGAGTCAGAGTCATGAGTCACTTCTCCCCTCTCAGCCACAGTTCCCCCACCTGCATGCCTGTGCTCTGGGGATCATGAAATTCCTCATCTGCAAGGCAGGGGCCAAATTCACAGGTACAAACAACAGGCGATATTTATCGCCATCTAGCATGGAAAAAATAGGCTCAGAGAAGCTAAGCGATGGCCA